AGTATTCCCCGTTTCATCAGGCAGCAGTTAGAGTTTGATGATATTTGACTGTATTCTTATTGGTGGCTTGAAATTTTACACGGTCCTTCAAGGTGTTTTATTCCTGTCAGTCAGGGTGACCCTAGACCACATCAATTTCCAGCATAACTGGACTTATGGAAGCTGAATTGTGACAGAATACTGTGATGCTGGGGAATAAAAAAATGTTCTAATAAAGGTAAACCACTAAAAACTATATGTTTATAAATATTCCTTATATTTTAAAATTTTTATGAAGGGACAATGTAGGGGGAAAGTGCTGCATAAATGGATATCATCTATAGATCACACAATACCAGTAGAATTAATATTAATTATTGTGAATCTGCAAAATTCCTGTGCAAACAGCTCCATCATTGCATAGCAGCATTTGAAGCTGGAAACTCATGCAGCAGAAGCAGGCTGGGATTTCACAGCAAATGGCATATGACCTGCGCTATTTGACAACAGCAGCGTCAATAGAGTGCCTGTTGCCAGACCCAGCCTTCAAGGATCTGCGTCTGAAGGCTGTTGTAGCAGTGTGTTTACACAGAAATGAATGTGAAATGTGTTGCCACGTCAGTGTGACCAGCTGTCTCCCTCAGTGACTCACAGAGGCATTTAGGTTGTGTTCCAGGGTGTTTCCATTACAACGATTTTCAGCCTTTTCCCAGGACCGAGCAGTGATACTAGCATGTGGGTTTACTAGCTTGTTCTTGCAAGGCTGGCTGCAGATTTTCAGTACTTTAAGGACTATTTTTCAGTGAAGAGGGTGTCTAAAGCTATCTGAAATGTGAGCCCACAAACAAGACAAAAATCACCAAAATCTGCAATTTTGGAAAATTGTTGACATGCAATTTGTCAGCCCCTGAATCCAGAGGCAGTAAGTTAAAGGCAGCTTGCTCACAGCCTGCACCAGTCTCTATCTGCTCATTCATACACATGCATACTCGTATGCAAGGGAGAATGCTATCCAGCTCAAGGCTTCTTTTATCTGAATAATCTCTCTCACTTCGAAGAGTCTGAAAAAAGTCTTTCTTAAGATTGCCAGCTGCATTTTTTAAGGGTCCACCTGCCAACCACGCTATCCCGTGGAGCTTGCAAAGGATTTCAAGCTCAGGTGTCATGTAGTCACGTTGGTTTTGGAACCAGAGCCTACTTGCTGTGAGACAAGCGCCAGCTGTGCCCTGCACAATGCAGAAAATTAAGAATGCACACTTAAACAAAATCCTTTCAAGGTGGTTGGCTGGGGACTGTATTCTCGGAAAACTTGCTTTATTTCTCTGTGATGCAGCTCCAAATGCTTAGCAGGGATAACAGTAAGACTTCACATCACAAGGATGTTGTGAAATACAGCTCTATGTGTGAACCCTACCGTCAGATGCTCTGATGAGTGCCATAAAATACCATGTAAAAAACAGAATGTAGATGGGGCATAGTAAAAGACATATGTTGGGTGAGGGAGCCAAAATAAAACAATGGATTTCTGATATCTTAATAATTACCAGTGATTTTAGGCAGCTTTTTTAAAAAGAATCTGCAGTGTAGTGGAATATTTATGTGGAATAATGGAAAAAGTTATTGAAATACTTAGGATTGTGTCATAGCAACCTCTCACAAGGAAAGTGAATAAACGTGTGTCATTGGCTTTAATACTGACATTCAAAGATTCCCCAGTTTTTTTCATAGTTTTAAAAAACATCAAAGTAAACAATATTTTTTAAAACTTTTTATTTCATTTCTGCTATATTTTCTATTTCTACTGGAACATGCTCTGTTAATGAATATATTCAGACGTGTGTAAGTGGGAGAAGTGTTCAAAATTCTGTTCTACTCCTCCTAATCTCACAAATTATTGAATCACAGCAGTTCCTTCATAATACTCCTGGGTGTTAGAAACATCAAATGAACATAATCTCTCATGCTAACTTTTCTTTACCTACTACCTTCATGCTTCTGAAGGCAAAAGGAAATCCCATACAGATTCCAGGTCAGGGTGCAGGTGATGTTTCCATGTTATGAGCTCCAGTCTCATTTTGGGAGCACAGAGCATTCCTACCTTTACAAAAATGGTTGCTGCTTGCAGTAGCTTTAGTTCTGCTGAAAGCTGATGCCATTTCTTGGGCACATTTCAGGTTACCTTCATCCGCCCTCTGTAGCCAACAGAAAAATAATTGCATGAATTATTTTGCAAAATGAAGGTGCAGGAGAGAGAAGAGTATTCATCTCTCCCGCATTATACATTGTTTGTTTGTAACTCAGCCACAAGTTTCTCCTAAAATCACATTTAAGGTATAATAGATACTACTATATACTGTGCTATGTCTTGTTATGTTTACCTCCTGGTATTTCAGCCATGGAATCATAAATGTTTACATCTGACACTGCAATATTCATTTGCAGAGCTCAGAAACTATTGTTAAGCTAAGAAAATGTTATTACCCAATATAAACAAGAAAAAAAAAAATGGAGTCAAAGAGAAAAGAAGACCTTAGAAGAAATACTGTCAAAAATAAAGTGATAAGGTTTGTAGATATCTTGTGCAGTACATTTGTCCAGAAATCACAAAATAAAGAACAACAGGATGAGATGGAATATTCTGTGTTTACTTCTCTAAAATACAGAGAAAAGACAACAAATAGATACTACTGATAAATGAAATAAGCAGATGCTTAGACATTGTTATTATTTTTCTAGGCATCCTGGAAGGAAAAAATGCATTTTAGAAGGGATTATGAAGAGGAGAAACATCCTACTTTGCAGGTATTTAAAAAGACAAATCTTCCCAGTCATGTATAGTATCATCAATGGAAGAACAGACGTGTTTGAAAACAAAAGGAAGACGGAGGTTGGTGTCATGGGATGATCAGAGGTAGGAATGAATCTCAAAAAATGAATAAAAGATGAGAAGCAGAGAAGTGACTTGATAATTATTTTTGCAGAGAAACAGCTGAATATTTGAAGTTTATTTGAATATCCTCTGTTGTCAGACAAAAAAGAATTAACCCTCAGAATAGCATTTCTAAAACCACATCCAGTGGCTTTTGCTGCAGCATTAAGACGACAGTAATGGGGACCTGCCAGAGGCTGGTGGCATTGACCTGCTTCTGTTGGCATTCCAGAAAAGCTGTGTCATTCCCACCATTGCTACATTCTTCTGTCCTTGTAATGAAATTTATTCATTGATACAAAAAAATTGATGAAGTCCTCTGCTTGGAAAGCTTAGGCAGGGAAGAAGTCACAAACTTAGTATAAATTGAGTGCAATAGTCAATATAATTTCCTGTATAACTTAAGTCTGGTCTGATGGTCAAAAAATTTGCCACTGAGTCCTACACCCTAATCATTTTCACCTGCATACTCCATTTTTCTATGTTTGAAACTGCAAGGAAGGGAAGATCTAATCAGGAAAAAAGCTATCTACAGATTGTAGAGTATCACTACAACACAACCAAATTTACTGTTTTCTGTCAGGAAAAGAGGAAAAAAATCTCCCCAAAAGGGGCCTAGATACAGCTGTTTAGAAAAGAAATGTTGAATTTAAAGAAAAAAAAAAGGGAAAAAAAAGTAAAGAAAGTCAAGTCAGTTGGGAACATATTCCTGCTTCTGTATGCCTTTTTTGTTTTGAGACTTGTGAGACTTTTCTCATGTGATTAAATTAAAATTGTCTGGGTTGTTCAGCTCTAGTTGTTGACAAAAAGAAAGGCGGTTAGGCTTATTATTTCATTGAGTGATACTATAACTCCATATATGATGAAAAATAGTCATAGAATGAAGCAAAAATAATCCGCAAAACACATTAACGTTTGAATTTCTAAACTAAACCAGCCTAGACATAAAATTTTCCAAAGATGACAGATTTTTTTTTTTCCCAGGGTAAAACCAGAAGCATGTGCATCTTGAAAATTACTTGTTTGGTTTCCTGATCAACATAAAGCACATAAAAGAAATGCAAACAGATGTTATTTTGCAACAGTTATATTCTGGTTGTATATTTGTGACAGAAATGTGTGAAAAAAACAAATTTGTCATGGAAAAATTAATTAAGATGACAAGTGTATTAAAAGTAAATCCTGATTATTAACATATTTTTCTTCATATTGACACACCCATCTTGTTTTCTCCAGATAAATGGCCAAGACATATGATAAATGATCCATGTGCTCTACAATTATGTATTCTATGTTTTCATTTCACTGTCATATTTTATAGCATTATTTTCTGACTCGGATGGTAGCCAAACCCTTTGAATACATCTCTTCTGCTCTATTGTCAAAAGTACTGACATATGTTACATATACATTACCCTCAAAGATCCCCCCCAAAAGAAAATGCAAAACCATGAAAAATAAATAAAATATTCTAAAAATATACTGTAAATTTACAAGGAAGGGTGAACATATAGGAGATAAGGAAAATAAAATACTGAAACAATTTGGAAGACAGCAGGATGTTAAAAGAATTTTAAAGGAAAAGAATATTTTATCTCTTGGTAGAAAGCTGGAAACTTATATCTAGGTTTCAAGTGAGAAAGAATGACTGAATAATGCAACTATTAATGCATACATCAGAGCCCTGAGAAAAATGTATTCTGACTGTGTACTTTCTCTTCTACTTCCTTTTGTCTCCTTCTTTGTCAGAAATGAACTTGGGCTAGCACTCTAAGGAAAAAAGAAATTAGAGTTATGAAAGACAGAATTATTTACTTGTTAGGGTAATAGGTAAGTAGTTAAAACATTACTCTTCAGATTCATATTAAAACACTTACAGAGTCATAATTCAAAATGGTTCATAGTTGGACTTTGACAGGGCTACAGGGAAACTGTTAGAGATCTTAGGCTGACTTAATATGCACTGAGGGCAAGGTCTTCCCAAGGCTTAAGGCTGAAAGGTTTTCATAGGTTGTGCTTTACAAGTGGATAACAGGGCATTTTAAAATCATATCTGAAAAGAATTTCAAAGTAGACAAAGCACTGTGTTAAAGCATGCATTATGTATCATTCTCCTACACACTTCAGCCACTATTAAGCTTGTCTTCCTTTCCCTTGTTTCTTCCATTGCCCAGCCCAGCCCAAACTAAAGTGTGACTCTCAGATTTCAGAAACAGGTTATACTTTTGTCATCTCATATTTCTGACATCCTATTTTTGAAAAGAGATTAAATTGATCCATTAAACATGTAAGAATGGGAATGACAGTAAGGAGCTGCCATGTGGATACACTTCTGGAGCGAGTAAGTTGCCCTTACCTTGGAAGCTAATTGGAATTAAAGGACGGTATGTGAATTTTCCTGTGGATACTGTGGATATGAATCCAGGCTGCAATGAAGCTAATTTACTCATGAACAAAAATTGATCTAGAATAGCTGTCCTCTACCAAGTCCCATTCAATATCTGAAAAACAGTACTATCAACATATGACTGCTTTTAAAGGTCAAAGGATGGTGGCCATTCAGGTCTAACACATTTTATGCTAGTGCACGTTTCATAATCTAGCAATGGTAGTACTATAAACTTCTAGCAAGATCATAAACAAAAGGAAAAAAGTGTACTTGTCACTGGATCAGTGAAGACTCCCCTGAGAGTCTAAATAAGTATTTTTACAAAAGTCTGTATCTACTGGTGCCTGACCCATATTCATTCTGTCCTGGTTTTCTTTTGTGCAGAGTTTCATAGGTATCCAATGTAACTGAGAGAAACAGCTTTTGTTTTTCTCCAAACACCAGCAGACCACTGATTCCCTGCTATCGCAGAGGTGACCCTGTGTAAGTGTTATACTTTCTTCAGCCCAGACTAACCATAAACCAGGTGGAATAATATAATTTTTCCTTCTCAAATTTTATGATTAAACCTTGAGGACAAAATAATTTATATTTAAATTCATGACAGAGGTTCAGATCTTTCTGACTCATGGCTGTTTCTTGTCCCTCTTCACTGCTTTCTACAGTGTTCAGAAAGCATGAACACATGATTTTCAAATATAGTGCCAAGGACCCTAAAATTAGACATACATTTTTTCAATTGTTGTAATTATTAGTAGTACTATTGTTGTTATTGAAATTTTAATTGTAAATAATTAATTTTTATTTAACCTTTTAATAGATATTCACTTCAGGCTTCCCCATTCAAAGCAGAGCCTATCCCACTAGCACAGTGGTAAAATCAGTTTTGAAAAAAAAGAACCTGATCTTAGAATATTTTGTGTGTAAAACAGAGAAGGAGGACTATAAAAAAAATAACCCTCTCTTCAGAAGTCTGGCATGAACCTGTAATTTTCACCTATTAACTATTTTCTCTTAAAGCTGTGATCAGAAAGACATCTTCATATATGTTCCTTGTGTGTACTGTAGATTTATATTTATATAACCACTTATAAAACCAGTAAGCTAGAGGAAGCTTTTTTTTGCTGTTTAATAGCATAGCTTGAAATTATACTCTGCTTTCTGCCACAGCTTACCAGCAGAAATATGGCTTACACTGGAAAAACAGAGATAGAAGAAGGAGATGATCAAGAGCACATCTAAACTACCAGCCATTCGGGGGGGTGGGGTTTTTGTAGGTGAAGATCCCAGAGGGCTCAAGGAGAATTCTTTGCCTCCAAGACTGCTGCATAAGAGATGCACAGATATACATGGTCTAATTATTTTTTAAGTGTATAAGAAAATCCAACACTTTATGCTTTTTTTCTTTAGCAAACTAAAAGCTGGTGAGCAGAGCAGAAGCAGAAAAGGAGCAATCAGCAGAGGGGCAGGCTACTTGGTGAGAGCAATCTATGCTGTACAGTTAGAACTTAATTAAATCTCTCTGGATCCTGTAAGCTTCTTTCAATAAAAGTATGTGAAAAGTGTTTAAAATCCTACAGAATTGCTCACTTCAGTGTGTGTCCATACTTAAAAGGACATTTGCTGTTTTGGTTTTGGGCAAAATTCTGAAAAGAAAAGCTGTCAAGGACAAGGGTATTGTTAACTTTATTAAACACCTACTATGTATAAAAGCACATGACACATGTATACATGTAAAATATACACATACACATATAAAATATGTAGTGAAAAAAGTAAATTTGCCTATACTCCCTTGTGTTTATGCAGAGTCCTACAAATTAGTTGTGAGGATAATAACGACTGCTGGGCTGTGTCTTCTTGAGGAATATCCAACTTTTTGTTAGTTTTCCTCAGAAACGTTGTGGATATTTTAAAAACGGGTAGGTATTTACACACACCATTATCTTTAACCTCTTTTTGTCTAGTAACTGATAAGTAAATTTTTTGTTGTTGTTGTTTTAGGCGTTTCTTTTAAACTTGGAAGAAAGGCAAAGAAATGTCAAGTAAGAGATACAATTTGTGCAAATATTGATTAATGGCTAAGTAAGTGTCAAATGATCATTTCATCTAGTTGCTGGCATGCTGTATTGCAATTATTTTGAGAATGAGGCGGGCACAGCAGAGCCAGGCTGAAAGCACGATAGCAAGCCAGCTTTTCCAAGCACATCCTGAGGGAAGTTTCTGTAGAAAGACCTTATCAAACATCATAGAAGATCTTACTGCATTGCAGCACTGGTGGGTTTTGTATTGTTCAGTACAATAGTCTGAATTATTTGATAAAACCTGCCTGTAATATAGCCAAATGAGAAGTTTTACACAATTGACAAAAAAGAATGGAAATCATGCAAACAGAGCAGTAAAGTAGGTGTCCTGGAAAAGGATATCTCAGAGAAAATGAGGTAGGGATTCGCAGAGGATAGACAACTCAATTAGAGGTACCATTCTCATGCTGGGTCAAGAAGGCCTAATGCAATCCTTAGATAAATGTAGAGAAAAAAGCTAGTAGAAGGAAAGAAGTGATTTTGCTTCTGTAATAGACCGTCATATGGGAATGTAGGATTTTTGCTAACATATATGAAAAGGTTGAAAATATGAAGAGATGCCAAAGAGAGATGCTAAAATGAGTTGAGGGATATAGAAAGTCCCTTCAGGAAGATACGTAGAGTTTAGTCAGTTTAAATTAGCAGAAAAGAGTCTGAAAATTTAGTGGAATGCTGGACATAAGTATCTTTAAGAGGAAACACTGGAAAGTGAAGGGCTCTCTAATCCATTAGAGGGGAGCAGCAAGGACTGTTGCAGACCAAAGCCAGGGCAAATTAAGCTTGAAACAAGCCACACCTTTTTAAACTCATTTAAACATACTCATTAAAAAATGAGTATGGTAAATCACTAGACAAATGGCAAAGGGGAGTAGATTTACCCTAAAGTATTTATATCTAGAATGGGAGGCTTTTGGGTAGAGAGAGAAAAGCAGCGGATGAGCAGATTTATTTCAGGTAACCTGAGGCCCTGCTGGGAGAAGACCCTGCATAAGTCAGAAGTTCATAAAGCTTATTTCAGAAAGTAAGAGCAACAAACATCAAGGGGGAACTACAGTCTGCAGCTCTCTCTGGCCACGTTCACCTAACCCAAGTCCCAGATGCACCTCTGGGTTTAGAAAGCCTGGCAAGAGCCTGAAGTAGGAGAGATGAAAGAGGGACAAGCTGGGGGTAGTGTGGGTTTAGGTACCTGGTTTTGCCATAAAGATTTGGTGGCCTGGGCAGAAAGAGGGAACAATACACCTCTGAAATGCAGAGAAAACAAGCTGAAAAAGTGTGTTGGCACCATCAGCCTTTGGCTGTGCCTATGCTGGCAGCCCAGTGAGACTCCAGGTCCATGATATGTCTCAGTTTAGTTCTGAGTCACTGTCACAAGGTTGCCCATATGTATGTATGTATATAGTCCCCTATTTACTAAAAAAGCCACAGAGCTATTTACTATCCATGAAAAGCCCAATTTCAGAGTCATTCTTCCTACCTTTAGTTATAGGTTCTCTAAGTTATGGGGGTTTTCCACATGGGCCTTTCACAGCTTTCAGAAAAAATAATTTCTAAGGGACTATTCTAAATATTTTTGCATATGTATCCTAAGCTAATTTTTCTTAAATATACATACAGATGCATACAGTTATATATGGAGTATTCATAATGAAAAAAACTGAAAATATAATACCTAAAGCCTCAGATACAGTGGTGGTATCCCCTGTCTTTTGGGAAGCAGAATATTTATGGAAAGAGCCAACCTTAGACCTCGAGTATTCCAAGCAGATTTCATCTTTTGGAGGGTAATCTATACTCTAATCATATTTTTTCCTTTTCTCTTAACTGCTTCTTCAGTTCCTAACTGATTTCAAGATGGACAGATGTATATTTCTGGCAAACATAATTGTTTATGGGAAGGAAGGGGAAAAACCTGGTACCAGTTGGAAGGATTCTCCCTCTGAAAATATCATTAGAAGTGTAAAGATGTGACTCGAACTCCAGCATTCAAGTTTTAGCCATGCACAATTTTTTCCAACAGTTTTTCTAGTTGCTTATGGTTGTTTTTTTTTCCCTCTAAGATCTGTATAAAACTTACAGAGAGAAGGTTTCACACAACACCAGTTTGGATTTCTTTCTAGAGAAACTTTCAGTAACGATAAATTATGGAAAACTGCTGTTGATGAGACTGGTACATCTTCTTACATTATTAAGACACGCTGACATTCAGATACTACTACCTTATTTTGATAATGTTGAATACTGAAAATACATTCCCTGAACACATCTTCTCTAAAAAAACAAATTTTACCACAAGCACTTGTATACGTCATCATGCAGAGGGTGCTTTCATGGCTTCGCGGATGTACTGCAGTTTGGAAAACCCTGCTAGGCACTCTGGATTAACATTTTTCCTGTCTATGTTGCTGGATCTTTGCTGTTATTTTTACCCATGCTACCTAAAAGCAAAAGTAACTACTTCTGCTTTTAGATTGAAAGCTCATCTCACATAAGTCAAAACTCAGCTTTCAGAAGGTAACAACACATTTTAATTTTTTTCTCACTCCATTTATATTTAAACTGCAAAACTGGAAGCAGACATCATGTGAATCACTCAGGCATTAGGGTTTTCTTCATTCTCATAAAAATAATTTTCTTTTTCTAAGAAAATTATTCAGCTTTAAAATAAAATTAATAAATCCTACAGTGAGTATTGAAGAAGAATTTACATCTGTGGCTGTCAGACCAGAGCCAACAGTAAAGGATTTGTCTTCATCATGTCCCTGAGTCCTTCCAGGAGGTGAAGTACAAGAACAGCTTAACACTTTCCTTCTCAAAGTGTGAGACAAAGAAACGTTATCTCAGAAGGGAACTGCAATAAACCTTCACACA